TACGAAGCTTTATTTAGAAGTTTCAACTTAACCTTCATAGATAATGCTAGTTCAGAATATCTTTTTATAATTGAGTTTTTTGCAAAAGATGATAAACCCAATGCCGACTGGGCAAAGGATATTTTTGCGGAAATATTTGAAACTACTATCAACATGGGTTTGGTTTGTATAATTGTCACGACTCCTATTATTATTATCACTTACGATCGTGTTAATTGCTTTTTTTTTGATATCTCATCTCCCAATCAGAGCTCAACAAAACAATATGTTGAGAATACTTATGATGCTGTCGGTGTGCTTCTGTGCATTCGACTAAACACACAATTTGCTCTGGAATTACAACGAAGGAGGGTACCGGCTCTTGAAAGTTACACGAATCAGACAAACATGCTGCTATGGCCAAGATTTCAGGCAATTATGGATATGCACATTGAAAGCGTCAAGAAGGCTGGAGATAAATTTACAGTTAAAGACATTCACCCACATTATGTAAGTCATCAATTTCAAGTTTTTGGGGGTGACCACCGACATAATCTTTAAAAATTACTTGTGTAGATATCACGCAGATTTGGCGAATTTGCAGCTTCAATATTGACCCTTAATGAAGATTACAATGACCCCATATTGTCCAACAGGTACTATACATTTTTTTTTTATCGTTTGAGTTATCAAACATTTAGCATCAAATAATTTACCTTTATTTATCATTTAGCTTGTTGAGGTTAAGGAACGAATTAGAATTTTTGCTTGAAAATATGTCAAAATCTTTCGACGATCGCAAGAGCAAACTGATATTTCTCATTAACAACTATGACCTGATAACAACAATTCTGAATGTGAGAATTGATTATTGATCATCTTCAATTATAATCGCAACGTATTTCTAGGTGTATTTATTAGCTTCAATATTTGGTAATAGGAAACTGGAAGAAAATCTGTAGAGGCTGAAGTAAATCATTTTAAGGAACTCTTAAACGGCAAGATACATGGGTATGTAGAAGAAGAACTACAACCCCATTTCGGAAGCTTAATTTATTTTATAAGAATGTCCGATCAAGGAAAAGATATTTCGGCTATAGATTCAGGTATTCATTCCTATGTATTTTCCATTCAATTACACTTTCTTAATTTAAATATTCATGCTATAATACGAATATCCATTCTTAAAACAGAATTTTTTGATAAAGTATCTGCAGACTTTGCGTCAACCTGGCGTCAATCACTAACATCTATCAACACCTCAGTAATTCAACACTTTTCAAATTTCAAGAATGGAACTACAATTTTACATGCAGTTTTGGGACAACTAATAATTTATTACACAAGGTTTTGTAACGTTCTGGAAGAAAGGATAAATGATGGTACGGTGAAAATTAAGAATCAACCCGTGGGAGTGCAGAATGTCATGGTCGAGATTAAGAAGTTTAGGAGTAATTTTTAACTAAAACTATTTAATATACGACGGGATAGTTGCATGAATGAAATAATAATAATCTAATAATTATCCTAAAATATCATTTGAAGTTTCTTTCTTAAAACAATAATAAAACAATAGAACGAACATAAATAGAATAAAAGATTGTGCTATTCCAATTGCAAAGCTAAAATGAAAAAACAATCATTATACAACTCATGTTGATTTATACAGATTATTTTCAATGCAAGCTCGACCATATAATGATTACCACATTTAGCACAATGAAACTAAAATATTTTAATATACAGTATATACAAGTTCTGACCGGAGGAGTGCCACTATAATTAAAACTTGTTTCATTATATTACACACAAATACTATCGGCTATTAAATCTTGAATTCAATATGAATAAATAAAGTTGGTCTTTACTAATAATTTTTACTGCTATTACAATATATATACAGTATATATATACAGTATATATTAAAAGCAAATACTGTATATAACAATACATATCTTTTTATTAATAAGTATTATTCAAGTTATATATCAAGTGTCTTTTATATACAAAGTCATTTTTATTTATATTAAGTAGCTTAACACTTGTTTATTAATTATTTCTAATAAATAACTAACTTGTTTTTACTTCTATTATTCAGCTATATGAACTTATACTATAATAATTAATTTAGTATAATTTCAATTAACTATGTTAACATTTCATACTTGTCAAATATTAAAAACTAAAGTTATTATACAAGCTTATCAAGTTTAGCATTCTTGTTTACAACCAATTTAAGTTTTTAAAAATAGTTAAAAAAGAAAAAAATTTGTACGTTCAAGAAAAAAAAATAAATATTCAAATTATTTTTTTGAAATTAATATATGCATTCTAATAGTATACTTTTGAAAAAATTTAAAAAATATATTAAAAAAATATTAAATTATTAAATATAGTTAAAAAAAAATTTGAAAAAGTCAATTTAATAGTTGATATTTTTAAATTATTTTCTATTACCTGTAATTAATTATCCTATTTAATTTTTTTCAAGAATTTTATTAATCAAAAATATTTAGAATACTTCAAGAGAATATTTCTTAAAATTTTTATATAGGGTGTTGCAAAAAAAATGACAAAATTTTCGATGTTCATTAAATTGATGCAGTCTAACTAATTTAAGCTGGATTTTCATTCTTTTAATACAGGTAAGACATGAGACATGTGGCTAAATTGTGTTACATTCCCATCCCTCCCTTCCTATAGCCTTTAGTTACAGGATGTTGCAAAAAAAATGGCAATTAAAAATCATACAATTATAAAAGAACTACTGCACCAAATCATATAATATTTAAATATTAATAGTATGATATAGATATTTTATTTATATAAAAAAATTAATAATCAATAAACTCTCCATTTCCTTCTATTACTTTTTGACATCACCTTCTCATCGAATTTACTAAATTTTTTAATATAGACTCAGGAACCGCTTGCCATTCTTCAACTAAATATCTTTCCAATTCACCTAAATTTTGTGACATACGATGCTCAACATTTGTTTTAACAATGCCCCATATGTTTTCGATTGGATTCAAGTCGGGGCTATATAACGGCCAATCGATAATGCTGGGAACGTTTTCTGTAAGAAATTTCATGGCGGAACAGCTTTTATACTTTGGATCGTTGTCCTGAAGCCAACGAAATTCATCACCAAATATACTCTTAATTTCTGGAATATGTTTACGAAGTATGGTAATATAAAGCTCTGCATTCATATTCTCCTGAAAACAATACAAATGTGATTTACCTCCTATAAAAAATCCACCCCATACATTAATCTTTACGTGGCTCTTTGGGATTCGATAAACCGGTTTCGAATTTTTGTGCCAATACCTTAATGTGTTCCTAAATAGTTGAAAAGCTGTTTCATCTGAAAAAAATGTCTTTTCCCAGTTGTCATCTAGGTACCTCTTGGCCCATTCTACATGTGCTTCTTTTTTAGCTTTGGTTAGCATTGGAGTCTTTCGAGAAAGACTATTCGAATATCCAGCATTATTTAAATACCTTGAAACAATGCTATAAGATATATTAACATCTTTATTTGCAAGTTTGGTTGCTATGTTTCTTGTTAAAAGGTAAGAATTTCTATGAATATATTGGCCTATCACCTGTGCGGAAGATTTCATGATTTTTTTTGGTTGCCCATTGCCTCCTCTATGGAATACCCCCCCCAGTTTCTCAGATTTTTTTAATGTTGTTATAGATAGTCCTAAGGGAAATATTTGTTTAGGCAAAAATCTCATTGGCAGTACGTACACCCTCATTCCACAGAAATAAAATAACTTCGCTTTGATGTTTTTTAGGAGACGATGGCATTTTCAAGCACCAATTTTACTGTAAGTTATTTTAAAATCATAAAGATATTTTTTATAATCTTATAAATATATAGTATATTTGAATTTTTATTTTATTTATTATTAAATTTCAAATAAAAATAAAAAATAAAAAAATAGGTTAAAAACTTTAAACAAACTATATATTGTTATTTTAAAATTTGTGTTTTGTTTAACTTTTATAATATATGAAATACCTTTTAAATCACAATCCTCAATAAAATTAAAAAATAATTCTTGATAATTCTGATAAAAAAAATACTGATTTCATCAAGCCTTTGAATACCAATTTATAATATATGAAATTATTTAATAAAATACATTATTATTTCAATCCAAATAATGTATATTTTGAATATTTTTACTTTTCTTCTAATTAATTTATAAAGATAGAAAATAATCAGACAAGGTTTATTGCCAAATTTTCTTTTAGGCGTCTAATTATTACAAGAAAATACCAATATTTAAGCTTTAATTGAGGCTCTCCTCTTTTTAAGATCAGCCTTTCTTTCTTTTTGTTCCTTTAATCGCCTAGAAAGCAATTCCTCATATTC